AAAAAATATTAGCAGACTGACTTCATTTGAGGTCCCATTCTGCTTACATTCTGTTGACAGAACCTGTTGACATTCTGTGTCAGCAGACAGAAATCGAGCAGATCCTGCTAACAAATTGTGTCCCACAGGGTCTGCTCGATTTCTGTTGCCAATCTGCTGGCACAGATTCTGTCAGGTTTCTGGCAGTAATTTGTTAACATTGTCAGATATTACAGAATCTGTTGCCTTTCTAGCATCAGAAATAACTTTGTGCATAATCTGTCTTTTCAGATTTGGCTATCAAGGCTAGGATAATACTCATTACTAGTTTTGAGAGAAGAAAATTTACTATCTTAATGATTTATTAAATATTATAATAATACTTTTATATAATAATACTTTTTCACGTTAGTATAAGTCACATGATTTGTGTAAAAATTGTTCAGAGAATATATTATTTAAAAATGAATTAACATTGACACGAGAAATATTTATTATTCATACTTCTATTTTCAGAACAAAATGATAAATTAATAAAAATATGTAAATTTAATTTGCGCGCAGTCTCAACTACTAAGGTATCAATAAGAAGACAGTTCTATAAAGCAATAAACGTTATTTTTTATTATGGATCATGTATGGAAGATGGTCATTACACAAGTACCCAGCAAGTACAGCATTAACATTGAGTCAACGTTTTAGAAACGTTGAGTTGCAACTATGCTGATGTTGAATCAATGTTGATCAACACTGAATCAATGTTGCATAAACATTGTTGCAATGTAAAAATGTCCGCGAATGTTGATTTATACTTGTAATGTCTACGTCTGATGGACATTGACATAAAATTGTTTCAATGTTAAATCTATGAAACATTGATATCATATCAATATGACATAGATTTTAGGTTTTTGCACTACTCTTTCACGATTTTACGTATATTTCACTTTTATAATGCAATTTTAAATTGCCTATTATTATTAATTTATATATGAAATTATGATATGATATAGCAAAATAAAACATAATTTAATACAAATGAGAAAAATAAGAGACATATAAGCCAAGCTGAATCTTCTTGCTTGAAAAATTTTTGTTTATTGAAGTAACAACATTAAATATTTCGATCTGTATTAGATTATCTTTAATAACATCTGAGGGAAAACATAAAATATATAAATCTTAAAACAAATTTGTCTTACATACATTAAAATGAGATATTGCTGGACTTAGATAGAATCAATCAAAAAGACAAATAAAAAAGTCTTCAGTCACTTGCTCCCAACATGAACAGATAGAAACATGACAAAGATCAGGTCAGACAAATGCCCAAAGATATTTTTAGTGATGTCTAAATTATATAAAAACCAATTAAAGTGCTAAATCACACAAACCGTCAAAACATATTAAAATTAGTCAGATAAAAAGAAATATCAAAAACTAAAAAGTCGGAGGTTGAGAAAATAAAAGAATAAAAATAAATAAGAAATAAATAAAAAAAATTAAATCAAATAAGAAATAAATAAATAAAAAATAAAAATTATTATGTTGAATTGTAAAATTATAAAGTCATTATGTCCATAAAAATGAGTGAATAAATATCCATGAACGAAAAGTCAAGTAGTCTGTATCAAATAGTAATCATTACTGTTGTCAGAAAGAAATGTAAAATAAAATAAACCGATATAGGATTGAAGGAAGGAGACAAGAAAAGGAATAGGAGAAGGGGAAAGAGAAAAAATGTGTGTAGTGGAGACTGAACAATAAGAAGAAGAGGAAAGAAGGAGTTAAATCGAGGATAATTGGTTAAGGGCAGATAATTGTCAGGCAAAAGATCCGTGTTGTTTTTGATATAAAAAAATTTCAATGAAATTTAATAAATTGGCGACCTTTCTTATCTGATTTCAGAAAAAAAATTTTAATGAATATTTATGTATATATATATACATATATATATATATATATATATATATGTATATATATATATATATAATGTATATATATATATATATATATATATATATATTATGTATACATACATATATGCATATTCAATGTTGTAGCATTTTACAATTAATGTTGAAAAGCCAACACAGGTTAGAAAAACAAAAAAACATCTATATGAATATCTATATGAAACATTATAACGTCTCATCAACATTTCAATGTTATGTGCTGTCTGGGTATCGCTCACTTGCCGCAATCCGCTTCGTCAGCAGTGAGCGCAATCGCGTTTTTGACGTTTGCGACATCCTTCTCCCTTTAATGGAAGGGAACTATGAAGGGTTCAAGTTACGTGTGTGTATATTTCTCTCGGCGCTCGCGACATAATATATTAACAATATATCATTTCCATTTTGTGTGAATATTGTGCGGAAAGTATGAAAAACATATGTGTTCAATAACATATTTAATATTAATAAAAAAATGTGTGATATTAGAACAAAATTATTTAAAAAAAAATAAAAAATGACGTTAAATTCAAGCGCTCTTTGTTATTGTTTGTGTGAAAAAATATTTTATTAGAATTTTAATCTTATTAAATAAAAAATGTTACGATATTGAAATTATATATAAAAAGTCTATTTTATTTTTATTGGTACAAAAGATGTGAAATTAAAATTAAAAATGGCGCCAATTTCTATAATCTTATAAAATATAAAAAACTTTACTACAGTGAAATAAACCAACTTTTAATTTCATTAAATAAAAAAAACCTTACGATGATGAAATTATGTATAAGAAGTCTATTTTATAAAAAAAATTTCCACATCGGAAAATAAATCAATTTTTAATTGGTGAAAAAAAACGATATCAAAAAACGATATCAAAAGCGTCAATTTGTAATCTCATAAAGAAAAAAAACTTTACAAAGGTGATAAAAATATTAAAATTAATGTGCAACTTATAATTGTCAATAAATTTTATTAATAACTAATGTCAATTTTTTAATTGCCAATAAAATTTATAATAATTATTGCATTTGTATCTACTACATTTGAGATCAAAAATTAGCACAAATTTATACTTAATGATTATAATTATTTAATTTTATTATTATTATTGTTGTTGTTGTTATTGTTATATAATTATAATTATTATAATATATACTATAAAAGATTTGATGAATTCTATAATAATAATTAAAATATGTACATACATATTTACTGTTGTATTAACTTATCTTTTTGCAATTATAAGAATATAAATAAAGATATTAAAATCTGATATATTTTAATTTTATAAATTATTATTCTATTCGCCTATCACATTGTTTATTTGTTGTTAAAGTAATTTTGTTAAAAGTAGTTTTTTGCAACTTGACCGCGCCAAATTTTCGTACACCAGTTTGATCTTAAGAGATCTACATTTAAAATTTACAATAGAATGCATGGCAGAATGGTACAATCATATCATGCAATATTGAAACTATTTGGAAATTTAATACTTGTTAGTTGAAAAAAAATATATTTAATGAAATATTATTATTATCATGGAACTCATCAAAAACTTAATATATAATTATAATTATTAATAATATATAATTATAATTATTAATTACAAATTTATGCTAATTTTGTTATCTAATGTATAATGTATGATATCTAATATATATATATATATATATATATAATGTATATAGATACAAATCCAATAATTTTATTAAATTTTATTAACAATCAAAAATTGACATTAGTTATTATAAACTTTATTGACAACTATAAGTTGACATTAAATTTAATTTTTTTCATTTTTAAGGTTTTTTTTACTTTATAGGATTACAAATTGGCGCCATTTTTTGATATCACATTTTTTTCTATCAATTAAAAATTGATTATTTTTTTATATAACAATTTTTTATAAAATAGACTTCTTGCACATAATTCCATCATTGTAAGACATACATATATGTTAAACAAAATACGAAGTCTTAAATCTGAACAAGAAAAATGTAGATGCAAAATTAGATTAGCAAACTAGTTTACCATAGTCCTTCTTTTAATGAGAACAAAGATATCTTTTAAAAAAAGATGAAAAAATGACGCCAAGTTTAAATGCTCTGTTATTTTTGGTTTGTGTAAAAAAATATTTTATTATCATTTTAATTTCATTAAATGAAAAAATTTTACGATATTGAATTGAAATTATATATTATTTGTATTTATTGAATTGAAATTATATATTATTTGTATTAATTTATTTTATTTTTATTGGTACAAAAGATGTGAAATCAAAATTAAAATTGACTAAATAAAATTTCTTTATTTAATGATATTAAAAGTTTATTTCACTATAATAAGATTTCTTATATTTTATAAGATTAGAAATTGCCGCCAATTTTAGATTTGATTTCACATCTTTTGTATCAATAAAATTATTTTCTTAAAATTCTAATAAATTAAAATTCTAATAAAATTTCTTTTTACACAAATCAAAAATAACAAAAAGCGCTTGAACTTAGCGTCTTTTTTTATCTTCTTTTAAAAGGTAATTTTATTCTTTTATCTTATTATTTAATTAAATTTATTATTTAATTAAAATATTATTAAATTAAAAGAATGTAAAAACTAAATTAGTTTTGCTGTCTAATTTTGCATCTATATTTTTCTTTTTCAGATTTGAGAAAGGCTTATTCGTATTTTGTTTAAATATATCTATGCTTTATTATTATAGCATTAACATAATACATATATGTTTTACAAAATTAAAGTTTTGAGATGTCTTTTGTAATTTTGTAATCGCACAAATAATATATAATACTATATAACTACCTACACATTATAATTATCTAATCACATAGTTGGTTTTGATTTAGCGAACTACATTGTAAGTGTCTGTATATACGATGAAAGCAGAAAGTTAAGTCACTTTTAATTAATAATAATTACTAATATTCACAATATCAACTAATAATAATTACCAATAATAATAGGTTTTATTGTGTATTACCGACTAAGAGAATAACTCTTTTGATTCTCGATATTAATGTTGTTCTATCATATAGGAGAAGTCGATGTGTATATAAAGCTTCTCCTCGACTAAATCGAGAGTGCATTTTGCTAAGATCTTCAACAGGAACGTATCTTATCACAACGTCAAAGAAAATTAAGGTGCGTATATGTTTCTTATATTATATTATATTAATATTATAATTGAATAAACAAATATTACTTTCAAATTGAATTTTAATAAAAAGATTCTTGAAATTCATATTTCAAAGTTTCTTCTTTTTCCTTTTTTTTTATTGATTGTGAATATTAACATTATAGAGGAGACATCTATTTTATCTATGGTAGATATAATTGAGAATATTTCTTTTATTTTTACCTAACAAAGAAGTAATTACAAACGGAAAGAC